CCAGCTCTTGGGCTTAGGCAATTCTCTTGCCTCAGCCTCCCGAGTAGCTGGGACTACAGGCATCCACCACAATGCCTGGCTATTTTTTGTTGCAGTTTGGCTAGGGCTGGGTTTGAACGGGCCACCCTCGGTATATGGGGCTGGCACCCTACCCATTGAGCCACTGGCACCATCCTAAAGAATTATTTAGATGCACTCGGGTAACCAATCACTTTATTTGGTCACCTAGGCAGGAACCTCTGGGCTCAATCAAGTGATCTTCCTGCCTTCAGCTTCCCAAGTATTTAGGATCACCAGTGCTTGCCAGCATACTTGGCTAAAAAAAATTAATTTTTAAAAAAATCAAAAGGTCCTCATTCATATAGTAGTGAGTATCAAAAAAAAAAAAAATTAAAAAGGGCTGGTGTCATGGTGGCTCACGTCTATAATTCCAGCAACTGGGGAGGCCAAAGCAGGATGATTATTTGAGCCTTAGAGTTTGAGACCAGTCTGGGGAACTTGGCTAGCCCTAGTATCTATAAAAAATTTTAAAAAGAAAAGAAAAGTAGTATGTGGTGGTATGGGCTTATAGTCTCAGATACTTGAGAGGATGAGTCAGGAGAAGTTCCCGAGGCCAGGTCTCAAGAAGAAAACAAAAAACAAAAACCTGGTTATGGTTAGGCACAGTGGCTCACACCTATAATCCTAGTACTCTGGGAGGCCGAGGCAGGTAGATTGCCTGAGCTCACAAGTTGGAGACCAGCCTAAGCAAGTGTGAGACCCCCACCTCTGAAAAATAGCTGGGCGTTTTGGCAGGTGCCTGTAGTTCCAACTACTTGGGAGCCTGAGACAAGAGAATTGCTTGAGCCTAGGAGTTTGAGGTTGCTGTGAACTATGATGCCATGGTACTCTACCAAAGGCAACAAAGTGAGACACTGTCTCAGAAAAAAAACCAAAAACTTGGTTAGAAGAGAAAAGCAGATGGCTGGGCTTGGCACCCACAGCTGAGTAGTTAGGGCACCAGCCACATACACCGAGGCTGGCAGGTTTGAACCTGGCCCAGGCCTGCTAAAACAATGACAACTATACACACACACACAAAACAGCCAGGAGTTGTGGTGGGTGCCTGTAGTCCCAGCTACTTGGAGGCTGAGGCAAGAGAATCACTTAAGCCCATGAGTTTGAGGTTGCTGTGAGCTGTGATGCCATAGCACTCTACTGAGGGGCGACATAATAAAATTCTGTCTCAAAAAAAAAGGGCGGCACCGGTGGCTCAGTGAGTACGGCATCAGCCCCATATACTGAGGGTGGCAGGTTCAAACCCAGCCCCAGTCAAATTGCAACAAAAATAGCTGGGCCTTGTGGCAGTTGCCTGTGGTCCCAGCTACTCAGGAGGCTGAGGCGAGAGAATTGCCTAAGTCCAAGAGCTGAAGGTTGCTGTGAGCTGTGACACCACAGCACCCTACTGAGGGCAACAAAATGAGACTCTATCTCTAAAAAAGAAAAAAAAGAAAAGCACATGGCTGAAAAATGAATGAATAAAGAGAAAAGACATAATATACAGGCCTCCAAGAGTAGTTTTCAGCAGATAAGGATGCATATGAGAGCCTTTATTTTTTTGAGACAGAGTCTCACTCTGTGGCCCTGGATAGAGTGCCATGGCATAATCATAGCTCACAGCAACCTCAGACTCCTGGGCTCAAGCAATCCTCGTGCCTCAGAGATTTTTCTTTTTTTCTTTTCTTTTCTTTTTTTTTTTTGAGATAGAGCCTTAAGCTGTCCCCCTGGGTAGAGTGCTGTGGCATCACAGCTCACAGCAACCTCCAACTCCTGGGCTAACGCCAGTCTCCTGTCTCCGCCTTCCAAGTAGCTGGGACCACAGGCGCCCGCCACAACACCTAGCTTTTTTTCTTTTTTCTGGTTGCAGCCATCGTTGTTTGGCAGGCCTGGGCTGGATTCGAACC